AATCCTAATAGTCAAAACAGTTTTGCTCTTCACTCCAGTAATTGATGAAGTTTGGGCAGTTGTTGCAAGATTATATATATTGTCAAAGATTCTGCTTATAATTATTGTAATGGATTACTTATTATTTTAGTGTTTAATGAATATTATGGGAAGAGATGATTTGTATTTAGCATATTTTTTGTCTTGATTTATGTATACTGCGCTGCTATGCTGAATAATAATAATTTGTGATATTTTTTCTTTTTGGTTTTGCCATTTTCTTGCTCATTTTTTTTTAATAGAAAATGAAAACATACAAAGACAATTTTCTGTTGTGCAGTCAAATACCCGAAATAAAAATATTTTTTGAAAATGACTCATTTTTCAGAAGTTATTTTTCTACTTTCCAAACAGACTCTTAATGTTTACCTAACCAAACACGTTCTACACCTCTCACCTGCCCCTCTCATTATTTTTATTTTGTGATGATATAAGGTATGGTAACGTTACCGCTCTAAATTGTAATTCACGTTAGTTCAACCTACGTTGCATTAATCCAACAGTTTAAAATAGTTACTAAGCGGACTATATATTGATACAATTATGAAAAATTGGATGGTTAACTCTTGGGTGCACGCGAAGAGATGTTGTATAGAAAAAGAAATGCAACTTATATTTTTAAAAGTACATATATTATATTTTTATCACGTGATCTGTATTGATTGCAGTGGCGGACCCAGGAATTTTTTTCAGCGGGGGCAAAATATTAAAGGAAAATTGATAATTAGAAGAAAAAAAATGAAACACTTAAAAAGTATAACCATAAATAATGTTGGATATAGGAAAATTATAAAACACATCAAAACATTATAAAAATATTCATAACAAAATATGAATATAATCAATTTGATAAAATAATTTGAATAAAAGATCCATTATAAATTACACGTCTCATCTCATTATTAATATCAATGAAGATTATATTATTGTGTTGAAGCAATATGCACTATTAATAATATTGAAAATGTGAAATAATGTGAAAAGATAGTGTTAATGGTGAAAATGTGAAATAAAATGTCAAAAAAATTGAAAACAGACCACACACTCAGCCACAGATTCAAACCCTAGCCTACCTTTAAGCCAACCATGCGCTCTGCCAACTAAGCTAAGTTACATTCTGTTATCATTTCTCTATTTTTTAATACTTATACTAAAACTTCTAGTATATATACACATATACATACAAGGGTTATATAAGAGGTGGGGGTGGGGTGAGTGGGGGCAGCTGACTCCACTGCCCCCACTGTGGGTCCGCCTCTGATTGATTGGATGTAAGAGAAAGTAACTAATAATCTCAGCCGATATGTTATTAGACAATAATACATGTAGTCGATCAAACTCTTTGGATAAAAAGAAAAACACTCTCCTATCATTTTATATATGTTTAATTAATATGCATATGTTACCCCCTAACCGTAGACAACTAATTTAGTAAACATCTTTTTATAAACCGCTAATACTACCAGCTAGTCTAAACAACGTACACAATCAACTATCAACTATTAACTAGTTAATTGCCAAACATTCTAGACCTGTGTGTACACAAAAGTGTTAGTTTAGAGCAATGAATACATAATATGTAATGGTGGGAGTACAGTTTAACAGGATTATTGCATTGGTTTGATTTGTTTGGATGGCAAAATGGAAAAGAATTGAATTCATCATATCAGGTGATGAAAGATTCAAAAATGGAATGGAGAAGGAAGCCTTTCTTTGGAAAACTGTACTTATGATTTGATTTGGAATATATTGATTGGTACTACTTCGTTAGAGCGTATTTAAATAATTAAATAAATGTTGCATTTATTAAATATGTGTTGATGAACCTATACTAGTACAAGGATATTCATGCTAGCTAACCTACGACTATGACTCTATGAGTCTATGACTATACCTGCAAGTTGGTGAGAATATAAATACCATATCATGAACTCGGCTAGCTAGCTGCACCATTTATAACCCCAAATATAAATATGCCCTAATTTCCCAATTGGTTTTTTAAAATAAATAAACTTCAGTCCCCGACTTCGACTAACTATATTATGAACCCAATGAACTTATCCAATACAAATAAAAGATAAATCGAGTCAATTTAATTTTGAAACTCAACGCCAAACTGTACACTTCTGTGCACAAACAACCCTGATAGGGATATACCCCTGGGATCCGAGCTATATAACCGGTAACCACCTGTACACCCGACCTCGGCCAAGACGGGCATGCCACGCCATCCCGCACGATGACCCGACCGACCGACTGAAGGCGCTTGCCCCGACCGTGTCCCTTCCTTGTGTTGGATCGCTGCTAAACCGACCGGCCCGCTCTTGCCGGTCGGACCCGATCCGGCTAATGGTCCATGAACCCAGAAAGGGTCAGACTGTGATCGCCGTGTGGCGGCGAGACATTCAACCCCACCTGTGACCGGTGCATGCCCGCCACGTGCCCACCATGCCGAGAACTCGGAGATGCCTTCTCTCACCCTCTATATAAAGCGCATTAAATACAACTTGAGAGGGGCTTTTGGCATGAGGCAAGACCGGAGCTTCCCGACCCTTCGTTAGGAACCCGAGCCTCGGCCTTTACCCGTATACGTATTGTACCCCGTATATACTATATCAAACCCAATTCAAACTCAAATCTCCTACTTTCAAAAAACTCAAATCCCTATTATTCGTGGCAAAAATCTAACCCCATGCACCATACTATTGAAAGTAAGTTTAAGTGAAACTTTTCATCTACTAAACTAATGCATTGAGGGCTAATTTATAAATTGTTGTTGGCTATGGTTAGCCCATCATATTCATCTAAGTGTAATCAAGAGTATTTAATTTAAATCAATCTATAACTTCTTTTTCTTTTTCTTTTTGTTTTTTTTTTTGAAAAAAAAAAACTAATTTCTGAAATATTATGGATCAATTATTGTCATATTTTTATGAATTGAATAATGAAATATTCTATAAGCTTTTTTAAATTATTCTCAATTCTATATCTTGTAAACTTAATTTTATACTATTATTACAAATGGAAGTCGCCTCAATATAACATATAATAGAAAGAATTAATACCCAAAATGGTCATCGACTATTTTTTTTTTTTTTTAATTTCGTCCTAAACGACTTTGATGACTTAATGTAGTTCCAGACTTTTGTATTTTTGCTCAATTTAGCATCCGTTTGTTATCCCGTCAAATTTGTGTTAAATAAAGGGATAATTAAGTCATCTCAATATTGGTCTTTCTTTACTCTCAGCCCTGCGAAGTATGAAATCACTTTTTCTTTTACGAATTACTCCCAAACCTACGAATCAAATTTTATATTCATAGGTCTGGGAGTAATTCGTAAAAGAAAGAGAGATTTCGCATTTCGCAGGTCTAGGAGTAAAGAGATGCCAATATTAAAATTACTGAATTGTCACTCTATTTACACTACTGTAAATTATGGAATTTCCGACCACCTGAAAATGATCTTAAATTAAGTTGATACCAAAAAGTCCAAAAAGTGGTCGGAAATAGCAACAAAGGTTTTTCCGGATACTAAAAGTGGTCGGAACAAGGCTTTTGACTTGATTTAAGATCACTTTCAGGTGGTCAGAAATTTCATAATTTCCAGTAGTGTTAACACCAAATGGATGGAATAACAAATGAATGGCTAAATTGAGAAAAAATACAAAAGTCTGGGAGTACATTAAGTCACCAAATACGTTTAGGTCGAAATTGTAAAAAACGATTATAGTCTAGGATCATTTTGGATATTAATTCTAATAGAAACTAATTTATAGGTAAAATGTTCTAATTGCATATTTTAAAGAGTTTGAAAGGTAATATAGAAATGTTTGTATATGATTTTTTTTGAGGGGATGTTTGTATATGATTGATTTTCTCTAAATAATTAATTGGAACTTATTTGGTCATTTTTCCTTCTTATTTTGTGTATTATATGCACTTTTTTCGGAATATCACTGACCCTGTTACAATATAGTATTTGTTCATATATACTTTCTCAACTTATTGAATCACAAAGAGTCGCACAAAAAGTCGTAGGCACTTTATTCTCTCCTTTTTCTTTTCCATTTTATCAATCTAGTTTACTATTCACTAATCAAATCAACAATTCTTTCTCTATTTATTTTCTTTAATTTTTGTTTAACACATTTTAAATTTGACTTATTATTATTTTAATATATACTTTTTCTGACACATTTTACATTGTCATGTTTGCTATTTATTTGCCAAGTCATTTTTTTTTTTTGGTACGAGTCAATTATTTTTCTTTGATTATATTCTTTAGTATTTTATTATAAATTTTAAATTTACTCTTTGGGTATTTAATAGAACTTTTAATATAACTTCTAAATATATAAATTTTATATACTAATTTAATAGGAAACTTTTTGAAATATATACTAATAAACTTAATGTTATGAATATCTAAATTGTAAATAACTTAAATTAAATCTTGTTAACAGAACTAGACACAAAAAGAATAAAGGAAATAGTACTTTTGGCATAAGTTTTAAATATATATATATATATATATATATATATATATATATATATATATATATATAATTTATATACTAATACTAAATTAAATACAAAAAAAAAAATGAATAGTAAATAATCAATTTAACCTTCAATAGTTGAACCAACTACATATAATGTAACAAATGAATATTACAATAATTTTTGAGTTGACACTGAAATATGACTTTATTTTTTAAGTACTATTGACTCTATTACACTGTAGTATTCGTTCTATACTTTTTTTTATATGTTGCAGTCCAAAGAATCAATACTCCACCAGAATTAGACGTGCCATCTAGCACAAAGTACTTGACAATTGTGAGTTTATGTTAAAATTAATGTCATAAAATATAATGACTTGACCTTTCAAATTTATTTTATATCTAAAAATTATTTTTTTTTTTAAAAAAAACATAACATAAAAGTTTGAAAGTAATAAAAAGGCAAAAAAATGAAGTATAGATTGCAATCAAAGTAATAATTCAATCCTAATGTACTTCAATTCGGTTCCCCACACACCAAAGACTAAAATTAAACATTAATTTGAACCACTTTTTTTAGGGTTGACAGTGAAAACTTTTAAGTAAAAATATTAAGGTCTCCAGCCGGCCGGCCGGCGACGATGGTTCACGGTTGATTAATCTGATCTTCATCATGCTCGTTATCCTGCTCAATTTCCGAAGCGGGTTCGTCTTCTTCGTCGAAGCAGTCGATGGCGTAGGCGGCGTGGGCGTCCCCGAAGGCCTTGATGTGGTCTTTGAGGGACCTCTTGTGCTTGAAGTCGGAGCCGCAGGTGCAGTACCAGAGCTTGCCGCAGTTCTTCTCGTGGGTTCGCCAGTCGCCCCTCACCGCGAAAGCTTTGCCGCATTTCCGGCACATGAACGGCTTGATCCCGTGCTTCCGCTTGTAATGCGTCTGAAGGGTTCGGAAATCCTTCAGCGGCTTCGCCCTGGGGTGGTCGATGTTGTTCCGGCACCCCGCCGCGCAGCAGTAGCACGGCAGCCGGAGCATCGCCGTCGGCTGCGTTCCCCGAAGAGACTCCGGCCCTTTCCTGTACTGCGATCCGTGACCCCACATATGCATCTAATTCACGTAAATTAAATTACACTTCAAAGTACCACCCAACATATACATACATACTCAACATTTTAATTTCTTCATCAAAACAATGTGCAGGCAGTATTAATTGCATATATAAACTCGACCTTTGATATTGACTTGATAACCACATATTTACAGTTTATATACCCCAGCCAAATTAATCAGGATGTTGACTTGATAACCATGTAGTTACAATTTATATATATAAATAAAAAATGGACAACCCCAACCAAGTTGGTCAGGACGTTGACTTGATAACCACAAAGTTACAGTTTAATTAACTTCCACTAGAGTGAGCTCTTAACATTTTTTATTTGAGCTAATCAGCTATGGGCAATTTATGTTAGTTTATCTTCTTATAGTCCTTTGCCGGTTAGGACTACAAGATAGGACTTACCTAATACACATCCAAATTAAACTACCTTGTAATGATCTTTTGTTGGTTAGGGTTATAAGAATTGAAGCAATAAATCAAAGTAATTACTAAGGATTTTACTTTTTTTTTTTATTTAAAAAAAAAAAAAAAAGGATTTTGTGTGAACTCATTGCATTCTCATACAGTCCAGGGAGTATAATGAATCTGCAATGTCACACAACAAACCCATCATCATGTGAAGAAACAGAATCACTATTTGTATTTATTGAGTGGATTTGCTTTTGGAATGGGGAATAAGGCTTGTCTTTGATATATATATATATGCTAAAGTCAAAAATCTTTCATTTCCTTAAGATTTCCTTAATATTTGATGATCCTGTAGAGAGCTGCACAAAATGATTACCATCAAATATATAATTATACCTGATCTGAGTATGCATCTACAAATTAAAGAGATAAAATATATTTTTTAACTAAAAATCTTGAACTGAAGATACGAGGATCAAGAAAGAAAGAAAGAGAGAAATAGGGGGTCTACATGGGGAATTTCTCTTAAGGTTGAGTTCTGAGACTGAGAATACCTTTCCCTTTTGTTTTGATGAGGGGCCATGTTTGTGTATAGAGACCCCAGGAAACGGAAAAAGAAACTGGGCAAATGTTTTGTGCAGTTTGACACAGATACCGATGTTACAAAAATTACAAAATTCAAGGACAAAAAGCATAATGGATGTGTTGTTAAATCAAACAAAAGACTGTCCGATGACCATGTTTTCAGTTTGGACCAGGTAGGCTGCTAGCTAGGATCGATGATGGATAGATTTATTCCATCAGAATTTCAGATCCCCAAAACCCCATGCAGAAAAAGGGCAGATGATATACGAATATATGATGATGATGAGAAAGAAATATACATATATATATATATATATATTAGTATATTACTCCCTCCCTAGTCCATAGTATCCAAAGATGAAAGTGTGAAATTTGTTCTTTAAGAAAGAAAGAAGGAAAAAGCAAATTAAACCCTAACAATAAGGACCCATGTTGTACTGTCGTTCATTCATTCATACCCATATCAATCAAGCTTGGGAATCAAAAGCAAAAGGTTGAAATTATAAGTGAGCAAACAAGCACAAGGGATGGGGTTTCTCTTTTTTTCTGCAAAATCATAAAGGGGAAAGAAGAGAGAGAGAGAGAAAAAGAAAAGGGAAGCTTTTGGCCTTCTGGATAAATTAAATCATTGTACGTTCTCCTTCCATCTTATTAATTGTTTGGTTCATCAAATTAAATCAAGCTTTGATGTAATAACATACATACCTGCATGTTATTGTATCTATTGAAAGTCTTGAAGCAAAGAGGGCAAGAGAACTGTGTAGGGCCAATCAAAATCTGGGCAGGGGTGGGGATCCAATACTGACCCTTGTGGAGAGTGCTCGTAGAGGGAGAAGATGAAGAAGAAGAAGAAGAAGATGATGAACACCAGTACTGATGATGATTAGTACCCACCACACTCACTTCTTGATCTTCCACCTTGTTGTTAATATTATTATTATTATTATCCTCAGAGTTTGAATAAGAAGAAAGCCTTGAGATGAGATCAGCATCGCCTGGGAGCCCCAAGTGCAAAGCCACACTAACATCACTTTCTTCTCCCTCCTCATCTCCCTCGCCATAATTGGACACAAAGCCGCTGTCCTCTTGATTCTTGGCACTGACGTCATCAACTTCCATGGCGGAGAAAGATGATGATGAATCTTGCTGGGCAGGCCTTGTTGGGCTTAAACTGAGGAGAGGGAGAGCTTGTTTGAGAGGTGGAGAAGGTGGGGGGAATTGGAAGTTGTAGTTGTAGGAGTGAAAAGATGATGGAGGAGAGGAGGAGGAGGAAGAAGAAGGAGGGTGATGGTGAAAAGGGTTGAAATTATTGAAGCAACCATGGAAATAATTGTAATTGGTGTAGGGATCACTCATGATGATGATGTGAGGGTAGTAGTAGGAGAAACAGTAAAGTGGATGGGAAGCTAAATAGGTACATACATAAAGGAGGAGAGGGACAAGATATAAAATAATACTCCGTAAATAATTAAAGATATAGTAAAAACTTAAAGAAGCTGTAAACTCCTGGTGGCCTGGGTAGATCTCTTGTGCGTATGGACATTTGATTCTGTCTGTTGAACAAATAAGTTATTGGGATTTACAATTTACATCTTCTTATATATACTTTGTCAGGCCAGGGCGTGAGAGACCCTTAGGATTAAGAATTCAACCTTTTGAGAGAAGAAGCGACAGGACAGAGATGATCCATGATAATTCAAGTCCGTAATCTAGTTGACAATTGAACGATTTGATATAGTTTTTTTTTTAAAAGTTAAAATTTGCTTAAAAATATAAAAAGAAACAAACATTGCAGACAAATCTTGAGAATTCTTATTGGTAGTTATCTTGAAGTTTTGATGAAAGAGGCATCTCAATGAGTTACAAGTTCTCTAAAGTGTTTATATATACACTAATATCCATAGTAGGATCAATCGAACACATGCATCTTAGCTTTTTATTGTCAACGAAGAGAGTTATTATTAATCTTATTTGGATTAGTCAATCAATTAAAATATGTAATGTGACAAGTTTAAATTTTATTTCATATATATAACATACATGAGTGTGATATATTGTCATCGATACCACATACTTATGTATGTTGCGTTGAGTAGATTCATTAAACTTGTCTTGATGTTGTCTACCTACTTTGAATCATTTTTGTTTTTATAGATAATTTATGATCGGTTAAAATTTTGTAATTTTGAATTATATAATTAGAGATTATTTTAATCCATTATTTTTCATAAAACAACATGATATTTTATATGATTAATCAATAAATTAAAAATTTATAAAGTCAATGCACTAGCAAATTAAAGACACAAGCTAAGCTAGCTAAGTCCATACATCATAGATGAAGAATCTATATAAAGGGAGAATTAGAGAGATGGAGTTGAGTAAAAAAATCTTCCAAGAAAAAGGGTATGTTGAAATGTAACAAAGTAAAAACCCTAGTGAATTAAAAAGGAGAGACAAGATGTTACTTGTGAAATGTGACTAAACAGGATAGAAAAGAAATGCCAAAACAAAGCATTGGATTGAGAGAGAGGGAGAGAGATTGTAAGCATGGAAAGAAAAGAGAAAAGAATGGGTGAGGTGATAATCTTGGGACTTGAAAGAAGAAATCTTTTCAAGTTTCAACAGTGATAGAAAAAATAAAAAGTAAATTCACACTCAGACCCACTGATTTCTTTTTTCACCACAGTAAAAGAAACTGCCAATTAAGACAATGTCAAGAAATTAGGGTTGGCTGCTGTCTCCTGTTTCTTCTTGAGATTGAGAGAGATACATACATATATATCGGTATATTGTATGTATATATGTGCCGTGTAGACATATATATATATGTACGAAATAAAAAAACACAGATAGCAAGATTGTGTTGGAGAAGAAAAGCAGCAGCGGGAAATGGGAATTGATGAAGTGATGGAATTTTTGTGAGAATAAATGGGGTGTCAAGTTTTGGGAAACATGGCGTTTCAATACTCTCCGGCAATCTCTTTGGTGGAAGAGCCTTTGGTCGATCGGTCTGAGTTACAACGTAACCAAAGTGAGAATTGAAATTGTGAGCAAATTTCTTTCCCGGAGGTTAGTGAACAAGGTAAATTATTGAAGATTGAAATGAGTAAAGGATGTCATTTCTTTAAAATAATAAGGACAAAGATGAAAAAAAAAAAATTAAGAAACTATTAACTTATTTTGAAAGGCTACTTAAAAGTAGTGTTTCAAAATAAGATCTTATTTTAAGCTACAAGTTTATTTTGGAAACATTATCAAACAAAACTTATAGCTTATTAGTAGCTTAAAATAAGCTATAAGCTCCTAAATAAGCTCTGTCAAACAAAGCTTAATGTATCGTTTCAAAAATAAATTCCTAACTTTTTTTTTTTATCTTTATCCTTATTATTTTAAATAAATGACATCCTTTACCCCTTTCAATTAAAACCCTTCACCACCCAGCAACTTTTTAAAGTTCTAACTCCAATCGTCCGTTCAAGTAGTTATAATATCTCCATCAACGAAAATTTAAGTGAGATCTATATTGAGATGAATGAAGGAGATTCGCAACAATATTGCTACTTCATTATGGGATGCTATCATGATTATGCTAATAGTTTCATTTCAAACTGTTAAATTTTAATATGTAAACAAACTTATTATTTAAATTTTATGAAGATGTCTTTTTTAGTCTTTTTACATTTATCATCTTATCAAAAAGTTAATTTTACCAAACACTTTTAAGCATAATCAACCAGATTAACATCTCTTCAATTTTCAGCTTCTAGCTTATAGCTTTTCAGCTTTTAGCTACCTTTTCAGCTAGGTTTGCCAAACATAACTATATATGTCTATATATTAACACTTGTAACTATTAGTAAAACAAAATTTATTAATTGTACTTATTTTGAATTAATTAACCAGTTGAGTTAAGCTCCAAAGAACAATCGTTTCGGAAAATAAAATTGTAAAATGAATACATAAGTATTATGTGCAGTCCATTGGTTCAAAATAGTGTCATTTCTTTTAATGAAAAGAAACGCACGACACCTGTTTCGTCTAACTAATTCTGTGGCAGTATAAATTCCACCGAAGAATATTTTACGGTAAGTGTAACAAGGCAAGTAGTATTGCTTAAGAGTTTGAGTACAAAGTATTGACTGTCCCCCAACTTGTTACAGGGTCTACGTACTATTTATATTGTAGTGTACAACGTCTCTCTGCTCAGAGTAAAGGACTCAATAGTTATGACGGAGCCTACATTAAAGGCATGGTCCTTTCCTAATTGCTTCTTCTTAATAGGGTGAAGTAAATATTGTGGCCAAGCACCTTGTGCTTAGATAACATGTAGTGGCCTCCGTTTCATTAGGTTGATAAAGTATATTTGAACAGATACTATGATGTAATAAAGTCAATTACATTTTATATATATACACTCTAATATCATTACAGTACAACTAAAATATCATTTTGATTCCATTAGAGTTTTATTTGACAATATACACTCAATACGTAAGACATGTTATTCAGTTTCATTTTATAATATACACTGTATAGTAGTTTCATTACAGCACAATTAAAGTATCATTTTAATTCAATTACAATTTCATTTGATAATATACACTCAATATATGAGACATGTTATTCAATTTCATTTTACATACACTGTAGTTTCGTTATAACACAGCTAAAGTATCATTATAATTCAAATACAGTTTCATTTGATAATATAGATCAGACTTAATATGTGAGACATGTTTTATTCTAGACGTATTATAATTTTATTTTACTCTAAGCCATCATAAATACGAGATTAATTAAGCATAAGTGTCGTTGTTTCTTTTTTACTTAAAGAAATATAATAACGTTATTTTGGTATAATAGTCCACCGTATAACAAATAACAATTGATTGATGCTATAAGTGATGGATAGAGACGAGGAGGAGGCCCTCATCATCGATCCACCAACGAAATCCGGTTGTAGTCTGTCGACGTGGACCTAGAAGGCACTAAGCTTGGAGAGCATTCATATGGTCATCCTCATTTGTAGTCCTCGTCCTAAACTCAATCAACCTAAAAATCTAAAAATATATATATGAATTTAATTCATTTATAAGAAAAAATAATTACCAGATAATAAAAGTGTCAATTACTATAAATAGAATATGATAATTACATTTTTGTAAATAATGAAAATAAATAAATTGAATTACATTATACTTCACATGTTTGAGTGATCATTTCAGGTGGCAGATGAGATGTCATAAATTCAAGAATCATTGTAGAAGGTTGCTTCTTCTTACATAGATACTGTACTCGTTGGAGTTGTCACCAGCATTTTAGTATATATATGCGTTATTTTGCTATTCACCATTTCTCTCCTACCCCTTTTGGATCACCATACATTTTCCCTTTTTTTTTTTTTTTTCACAACTAACTGAAAAATCTAAAAGGGAATATAATTAATCACCATACACTATTGAGGTTACTCTTAGGGGGCGTTTGGTTCACGGAATCTTGGATTACTCCAGATAATAAGATTATCGTACCTCCAGGAAAGTAATGTGAGATTTTGGGAATGTAAGATTATCTTTTAGGACCTCGTTGTCAGAACCCTTTGATTGAATAGTATATGTAAATTAACCATGCATAACTAACAAGAATTCATCAGGAAATTAATCTGCTTCTGCTTCATCAATTCAAGCGTGCATATATGCCATAAAAAAAAAAAAAACATGCATGGCTTGGGCCATAAAGTAGCATTAGTTACAACTCATGAAGAATTTTGACAAGCTAAGTGTGCAACAATTTTATGGTTCTAAATAGAGTGGCCATGTTGTTTAACATGATCAACTGAGACAGTTCAAACAACATTAAATAATTAGTTATCTTTTCCACAACTACCCGCCATAACAAATGATGGAGCATGATTTTTATACCAGAAGGTCACGAGTTTGATCGTCTTCCTGCTGTGTGGATGTTGATCTTATTATGATTAGTTGACAGTTTGATATAATATTAGTAATTAGATATTCGGGATGCATTTTTTACATAAAACAAGCAATATTTTTTTACTGCATGCCATGCCTGCCTGCCGAATTTACTATGCCATTTTCCAAACATGCATCTTGGTACCGATGACTGAGCAGCATATATGACTTAGTACACCACTTTCTGGTCGCTTGTATGTACTTGTATTGACTGCTTTTGGTACCCACATTATCCTCCCACACTCACCCTTTATCATGTGTGATTATAGAATAAAGAGATGAATTGAAAGCCCCATAATGTATGTGGGGTTCACTTGCACGTACCATTAGTTTTCTGGCTTTAGTTACTCTTTGTGGTCTGAACTTGATCCACTCATAACAAACTACACAGCCAAAATTTTATTCAAACACTTTCATGGTTAAAAGATCGATGAAGTC